GAAATTGTATAAAATGCATATAAGTATACATAACAAATTTGGAGACTCTAGCTTTAAAGATGTAGGAGATATAAATTTATTACTGGTTTTCGATAATGTCGCCTGGTTAAGAATATATATACATTATGGGGTCTGCCACGCCTCCTTCTGCCTGTTACATACATTTAAAAAGAAAAACATTACACCCTGATTTCCCATTGAAAATGGGTTCAGGGTATAAAAATGCCGCATCGTAGAAGATCTAATTTTGCCCATCGGACCCGTAATGCAATTAGGCAATGGAATATTGTGAGTCAATTTTCTGACGAAGAACGAAAAATCGCCCGAGAAGAGCGCCGCGTTAGTATGGAGCAAAGAAGGGCCTTAATTCGTGCTTCTCGAACACAAGAGCAAACAGAGGCAGCCCGTGAAACGGCTAGATTAGAAACGAGAAATCGTCGAGTTTATCGTACAGATGAACAGAGGAATAATCTTCGAAGAGCAAGTGCAATGGTTTAAGAATTGATTTGAATCGAGCAGCGTTTCGATATGATTGTACCATCGACTACACCTTGGATCGTTTAGTTTGCATTGGACTAATGGACCTTGTTCGCCTGCATTGTGGCGCATTGAAGTTTGCTGGTGAAACGCCCGGTTTGTGCTGCATTAGTGGTAAAGTGACATTGCCATTATATTTCTATCTATATTAATATAGTTTTATATTATTGTGTTACGTTCATCAAATCCTAAATTAGTTCAGCTAACAGATAACACGACATTCGTTGACTGTTAGGCGGTACGAAGTTCGCCGGGTCAACTAGTATCGAATCAAAAACAAATAGCAAGGTTCCAGTCGAGGCTGCTCGACTAGGAGATACCCTGAAACCTCTAAGCTAATACTATAATCATTCTGCACTTCTTCTATGCACACATACATACACATACATCCACACGTACGTATAATCACGTGCTCTGCTGACTGCGCACTTAACAGCGACAGCGCTTGGGGAATGGCATGAGAATTTATTTGTTGAATAATTTCTCTTGTAGAGGGAATATCTTAATTAAACTTTCAGAACGTTATCATATTTTTTAAATGTATATATATGTGTATATTCAAAAGCACAAGTCTTTAATACTTGAAATTTTATTTGATATACACTTTTTACAAGGAGACTAAAACATGTAAGGAGGCTCTAGTCGAGACTGCTCTACTACGAGATACCCTAAACCCTATAAGCTGATATTCTAATCATTCTGTACTTCTTTTATGCACACATGCATTCACACACATCCATACGCACGTATAATCACGCGCTCTGCTGACTGCGCAGTTAGCAGCGACTGCGCTTGGGCTGCGCTGCAGTGTGGGCAATATTATGAGAACTTATTAGTTGAATTATTTCTCTTGTAGTAGGACTATCTTTATGAAACTTTCAGAGCGTGAAATACGTTTTTTAGAAATTGTTGGCAAAGAGGGCGTGGTGTCCAAAATCTGTAAATTTCAAAATCTTTGTATCTATTAACTTTATATACAACACAAATTTTAAGTTTCCAGGTCTAAAAGTGTTCAAATTAGGCTGAAAAAAAAAAGTCGATTTATCGATTATTATCGATAAAAATTGATCGGATGAGCTATCGAAAAAATAAGATAAACTTGTACTGCCTATGGTATACACGAGTGTGCATGCCAAATTTCAGCTCTCTAGCTCTTAAATCTTATGAGATCGGCTTGCTCATACGGACGGACAGACGGACAGGGCTATATCGACTCAGCTCGTCGTCCTGCTCAAGAATATATATACTTTATGGGGTCTGCGACGATTCCTTCTGCCTGGTACATACTTTTCACATAACCATTGTACCCAGTTTTCTCATTGAAAATGGGTTCAGGGTATAAAAAGAAAAAGATGAGAGAAGTATCTGATCTGCGAGACACAGGTTTTTAGATGGGAAGGACTTAAGACTATCGACAGTCTAAGGAGGCTGGAGAGTCCARTCAGACATTCAAGGGGAGCACCCAACAAGATAGAGTTTAGACCTATTTTTACTAAATAATATCAAACATATTACATCATTGATCACAACCCTACCTAAACCATTGTGCCCTTTCCCATTCTCAATGGGCTCAGAATATAAAAAGAAAAAGAAGAGAGAAGTATCTGAACTGCGGAACGCAGGTTTTTAGATGGAGAGGAGTTAAGACTATCGGCAATCTAAGGAAGCTGGAGAATCCAATCAAACATGCAAGGAGAGAACACAACCAGTAGAACTGATATGGCTCAATTTATATTTGGGCAAGAGAGAGTTTAGACCTATTTTTACTAAATTATATCAAACATATTACATCATTGATCACAACCCAACCTAAACCATTGTGCCCTGATTTCCCATTTTCAATGGTTTCAGGATATAACAAGTAAGAAAACTCTAGTCGAGAGTGCTCGACTAGATACTATCCTGAACCCAACAAATAAAAATGCCCATTT